CGGCGCCCCCGGGGGCGGGGGATTTGGGGGCGGCTGCCCCGCCTGCCGTGGGGGGAGCGCTTTAAAGCACCCATCCCACTTAGGGCCTCGGGCTGGGACCCGGTGGTGAGGGCAGGCCCGGGTCCCCCACTCCCCCACGCCCCGACCTCAGTGTAGGTCCACAAGGCGGCGACGGTCGCACACACCACCCCTCCCCTTCCCCGCGGAGAGGGGCAGCAAGACAAGGGGGCAAAGACTAGAGGGACGGCTCAAGAGCCCCGGTCGGGCCCCCGGCCGGGGGCCGCCCGGGAAGTTACAGGCCCGGGTCCGCCGAGCCCCCTCGGCCCTACTCGGGGCGAGGGGTGATCGCACCCGGGCCCAGACTCGCCCGTGAACCCCGGAGGGCAGGGTAACTGGGCGTTCCGAAGGCGGTGGGTTCGCAGAGCCTCACCCCACCCCGCCGGCCCAGTCCGGGGGATCTGGGGGTGTGGAGCTCGCACCCTTAAAACCCGCTACAGGCGTTTTGTTGCTTCCTCCCATAGTACGTACCTAGAACCAGAAAAGAATCAGATATGAATGGAGCCCATGCAGGCAGATTGTGCTGTGGGCTACCAGTCCAGAAATGTGGGGTCAGTAACTTCACACCACTGCCTCTCTCCACTTGAAAAACCAAGTCAGTAAGCAGAGGGCCGGTGTGCGGTGGGGAGGAGCAGGGGTGTGCCCGGCTCCCAGCCTGCCGAGTCTGGGGTCAATCGTGGCAACCAGGGAGGAAGCGGGGCGGAACATTGTTGGCACGCGCCGGCCGGCTATTGTGTTATTCCCGGGCCCGGGAAGGCCCTCCAGCTGGGGCTACAAGCTCCCGGTCCGGCATCCCAGGGCATGAGGAAAAGTTTGAAAAGTGTCCGGCACAGAAGGCAGCACGGTGGCTCAGGGGGAAGAAGCCGCCTGTCGCTCCCTAAGCCGGAGAGTGTTCCCCCATGGTGGAAAAGGCAGAAGGAGAGCACCAGGATTCTGCAGTGCCCAACTGAATGCGAGGATGACGGCGGATGGGTAAGCCCCTGAGAACCACCGGCGGGGATAGGAAGCAGCCCGGGAAGGGATTTGATTCCCCGACCCCCAAATCCCCCTAACTGCCCCCCCTTATCTGCATGACACTAGGCACTGAGTTCCGGTGAACCCAGGACTGCGGGTCGCTAGAACACAGACCCCGGGGAGGGGCCAGGAAAAGGGGCAAGGGACCCTATGACTGTAACAGAGACCAGATGGTGATTCTGCTGAGGCCCCTCTCTCACGGTCCGGTGGGGGCGCTCGCCCCCGGAAAACCCGTCACACAAGGATAGTGAGTGTAGATCTAGTGAGAGCAGGGAATTACCCTTATGAGGTTGAGCAGAGATAAACCCCATCAGAGAAAACCCAAACCCTCAAGCTTTGGTATCCAGGTCTAGGCAGTATCCGCCGTGGCACTGGATTCCAAGCAACAAACCCAGCATGCAGCTGAGAAACAGACAAGGATACAAAACCCCCTACCCTGAACACACCCCATGGGTTGCTACCTGATCTCAGATCCTCCAGGGTCAATTGCACCAGCTTTAGGAGTGTTTGTAGAGGCAGAACTGAGAGCTGCTTTCAAGGAGGAAAAAACAATTCAATGCTCCTGGTTTGAAAGATTTCAAAGATTTTGGTCCAAAGCTTTTGTTAGTCTGATCTCTAGGCCTGGCACTCCAGACACAGGCCACAGGTCACCTCATTGACATCAGCTCTGAGTTTTAAAGACACATATAGGCATAAAAGCCTGACAGTGTGAAAGTGACTTGGACACCTGATGGCAGAATGTGCACCCACAGTTCACATCTTGGCTGAAAGACTGACGAACTCTTCTCCCCGAGAGGAAAGTTGTGTTCCCAGTGTCTAGCACATATATGCACACTTTGTGTGTCGGACTCACAAAGACATTGTCTCACAAAAACACACATATACACAGACACACATATGCACATACACAGACACACATTGGGATGGGTGGCCAGTGGAAGCACGGTTAGGAGTAGTGGGGCTGTCCGGCAGAGATTGGGGTGGGTGGCTGGCGGACAGCCCCACTACTCCTAACCTTGCTTTCACTGGCCTACCACCCCGATCTCCACTGGACAGCCCTGCTACTCCTAACCCCG